TCCGAGAATTCTTTTCTCTGAAAAGTCCATTCATTGCACACTCCGATTTCATACTGCGAACTTTTCCACGCATTACCAAGGACATCTCATGGTTCAATCTCGCGTTTTCTTTGAAATGGTCAATCTTTGTCTGCTTCCTTTATAATTAGCATATGAAAATTCTTGTTTTTTTCATAATTACTAATGAATTGTTATTTTTACTGTAGCTACGCACCGTATCTGCTCCGGTCGCTGAACCAGCTGCGAATCGTTCTTGGTGCCCATGACCTGGCTAACACTACGGAGCCACGCGTTGAAGTCACTGTCAGAACGGCCGGTGTGCAATCCGGCTATCGACACGAGGTTCTTTCAAAAAACCTGGCTTTGCTTGAAATACTGGAAGATTTCCCAACCGGTCCCCTGATTCAGCCGGCGTGCATTTCAGGCATGAGTCAAATATTGACCCCAAGATTTACGTTTAGAATCTTTGGAGTCGAAAACCACCTCGGTTGGTTGTGCGTGACGCTGTTCAGTCAGAAATTCGATATTTAGATATTTTCGCGGTCAGAGTAATGCGAATGAGGGTCCAGGACCAAGACGAATGTAGAAGAGCAATTACGAACTTCATACCTCAATTTCATCGTTGTGCCGTGCTAACGTGCCAGTGGAATGACCTTACAGCAGTAAGTAATGTACTGTATGCTGCTTTAAAACTCATCTATTCATGAACGCTCCAAGAAAAGTGAAAGGGCAATTCAAGGCAATGACAACACCTTGTTGTGAGGCCCCGCGTATTTCTATGTCATTCGTTCAATTAGCAGTCAGACAATGTGTGATATATGATAATTGGTGTGTTTTTTCGGTACAGAGCGAACATCGCTCCAATATGGCTGCTACGCGTTAAAGGATACCTAAGATAATCGGCATTCTCGCCCTCCCTTAGCAACACCGATTCTTTCGGATATCTGCAGGTTTGTTGGTGGCTGACGGTCCCTTCTTCGCTATGATTTTTGATGGCTCTAATGTTGAGGGACGAAGGAGCGTTTGTTTTGTGCAGCACCCCATGTACGAGCAAGAGAGACATAAGGAGCAGTCGGAGAACTTCGATTTCCATCACCTCTTGTTGCCAGGTTTCTGACATAATACAAAAAAATATGACGGCTATGAATCTCCATGCACAACATTCACAATAAGCAGCTCATAACTGTCAAACTCTTTTGTTCTTTTGCCTCTGGAAGACATGTGCCTGCATGTTAGATGTGGAAGCGAAAGATATACTGCATATTTGCTACTTCATACCTTGTGCTAATCGTGTTGATATCTTCAGTCAGACGTTGGAAACCCTGTGGTCCTTGTGTTTGGAGAAAGACCTATTCTGTACGGCATACTGTCCGGTACAACCGACAACAAAGTGTCTTCGATCATTGATATCCAGGCTTACAGCCAGCTTTTGAATTTATATGCTGGACAGCAGCTGATGGCACCAAACGCTCTTAGACCAACGGTAATGATATAAATGTTTTGACGCGGCAAATGGATATATCATGATTTCGGTTGTTTGCAATTCTCTTGATGGTAGTAGGTTTTATTTTTTGCTTGGATTTAGTTTTTGTGCTCATTGCGTATTGTGGGATAAAATTGAATGAAGTAGAAATGGTTTTTTGTTTAAAAAGTTTTTTGTACAAAAATATTAGCGGTTTTTATGGTCTGGTTTCTCTGCGATAGCAACATAAAATCTTTGACTGGATTTTGTGCACAAGTTTTGATAAAATAGAATACCGGTCTTTGCTATGGAAACGGTTCTGAATGATTGATTTTAAAGTAAATGGTTTGCAGGTGATATTTTATATGAACAACAAGCACCATAATAAATTTCAAAAGGCAGTGTGATCAAACTCCTGCACACCTGTTTTAATAAGCCATTTTTCACACTGGACGTCGATGTCCAATATCTTAAAGTGGTGCCTCCACAGACAACAATCGGCTAATTGCAGCCTCCATATACAAAGAAATATTTATGTCTAAGATTCTGATACATCTTCATCTTCATCTTCCATCGCCGCTTCTCCTTTCGGGTCGCGGAGGCAGACGCGTCAGACAGT